AGTCTCCACATAAACATAAAAACAACTGTTTATAATTAGACTGCTAACTACTTTTCAGGAGGTGGGAGGATAGGTGGAGCAAGGGGAGGAAAGGAACCATTTGAGAAACTTAAAGATGAAAAGAGAAGAACTTCTGATCACATTAAAGATTAGCATTTGGATTTATAAGCATTTGACATCAGGGAACCAAAGAGAGCAGATGACTTCATCTACTATCATTGGGTTAGTTTAGGAAGCCACACTCAATATAGATTATACATGACACAGATTTATGCATAATGGGTGGTATAAATAAAACACTAGTGTAGAACTTGATATATACATGGGTATTTTAATTGTCAGTGTCAGTATAATTTAAGAAGAGAGTTCCTTAGTCCCTGAGGGATGTGATTTTAAGTGAATTGGAATAGCCCCAAATACAATGTAACTTAACTGTTGTAGGTAGCTAATAAATCCTTTTCTGTAAAAGAAATAAGTGTGGTAATATTTAAAAAGATGTATTTTAGAGTAAAGTTTAATTGGTGAAAAAATGCCAGTGTCCTCTTATGAAGGTAAGTTACTTGACACTGTTCTTCACGATACCAGTGTTGTCTAGGCAGCCAGTTCCTAGCAAGTAAATGGTCTTGAAGTGGTTTCTGTGATAATTTTCACTGATTTATTAAAAATTGGGTCAGAATTCACTTCTATATGTCTTGTGTTCACATACTTTTCTCCTCCCACCTATAAAACCGTTAACCAGATTCATCTTTCTAAAATAAGATTTTTAAATTATTTCTCCCCGTTCATGGCCCTTTTCAGAAATCTTTAATAGTTCCTCTTACCCACAGCTCTCATTGGCCATGTTGAGCCTGCTATTCAGTACTCTTCATACTCTGGTGACAGCTTACCTTTGCTTCCAGTGTTTTACCACGTACATCCCCTTTCTGTTTATGTAAGCTGGTTCCCTAAACATGTCATTCATTTCCTCCTCCTACCTTTGCTTGCATATTCCTCCTACCCCTTACCTCCTCTCCTCCTCTGGTCCGATCCCTCTGTAAAGGACAACCTAATTCAACTTACTTTACAAAGCCTACCTTGAACCTCTAGGCAAGAGTTTCTGGATTCTTTTATTGTACTTATTATTTTCCTTTTATCATGAATTATTGTTTTTGCAAGTGTGGTTTTTATCTCCTCACTGAGATTTTAAGTTCCTTAAAAGTAGAACTTAAAGAGCTATACCTTTATGGCCTGTGGTGGCATTAGAAACCCATACTGTTCTTGATTATTTGTGCTGAATACTACTTCTTTTTACCTAGGTTTACCATTGCTTGTTCAGAGAACAATTGCAAGAACTATTGTGTTACAAGAAAGTATTGGAAAAGGTCGATTTGGAGAAGTTTGGCGAGGAAAGTGGAGAGGAGAAGAAGTTGCTGTTAAAATATTCTCCTCCAGAGAAGAGCGATCATGGTTCCGCGAGGCAGAGATTTATCAAACCGTGATGTTACGTCATGAAAACATCTTGGGATTCATAGCAGCAGACAATAAAGGTCAGTAACATTGGCTCTCTTTGCATGCAACAGAATCTATTTAAGCCTTTTTACAGATACAGCTACTAAACATCATGAAATTTGATGAGAAAAATAGATGTTTGTCATATAGATTAGACCCATTAGGTCAAATAGAATATATTAGAAAAGCCTTTAGAACCCGGAACTTATGAATGATTTTCTTGTCTCTTGACAACATGTTCTAAATTTCTAATTCTTTTATAAAATGTAAAGAGCTATTTTTTAAAAAGCCACGTGCTTTGTTATTTTGCTTCTGGCCAGTTAGTTATTGAGTATAGTCATAATGTAGAAAAAACTCTAAACTGCTTAAAATTTTGAGATAGAATAGGGTCCAGATATCTGTTTCCTTTTCATCTCTTTCTGGCCATTAAGGCATTCTGATATATACTAATGGCCTTATTTATAGGGAGAATAAAAATAACTTCTAAGGGTATTCTGTGTTTTAAGTTGCCTGGAACTAAGCAGATTAATCTTTTAANATGTGGGATCCGAACCGGGGCCCTCTGGCATCCCAAGCCAGTTCTTAACCATCACGCCACTCGGCTGGCCCTTAAATCAAATTTTTATTTGTTTACATTTAGGTACTTGTTTTTTGTATTATAAAAGAATTTTAACATTTATTTTTTAACATATTATGGTATAAGAAATTTTATGTACTGGTGACAAATTTATGATATTTACGCATCATAGAAGGCCAAGAACTCTTCATCATTGCAAGTTTGTCATAAGTTCAACAAAACCTACTGTCATATTCCAGAGTATTATTTTACATACGGGTATCATTATTGATTTCTAGAGTTGCACTTTTAACCCATAAGCATAAATAAAAGAATTAAAAACATTTATATAGATACGGAATTAGTACTACCCATGTATAATGTGCATCCTTGTTTTTCCCTCACAAATTTGGGCAAAAAAGTGCACATCATACATGGCAAAATACGGTATATAAATTTCAAAGCATTCTTACTTTCTCATGGCTGTGTGAGATAGTAAGATTAAGGATAATTATTCTCATAGGTGAGGATGAAGTTCAAAGATGTTCCAGTGACCTGCAGCTACCCGTTCTCTTCAGGATTGTGGAAACAGCCATGACAGGAAATGTGTTTGGAATTGCAAAAGTTATTTGCTATTTTAACATATGAAATTGCTGTCTTTTGCCTAGACCTAGTTTTTCATTAAAATAATAAACTTTTAGTCATTGTCTCACTTTAGAAAAAAGTCTAACCACCTTGTTAGTTAATATCGCTTTTTGGATCCATGGCCCCTGTGATGTTTGCTTTTCTCAGTTCTGTTCGTTGATTTCTGTGGGATCAGAAATTGACTGGCTAATTACCAGAATTATTCCCTGAAGTGGATTTTGGCATAGTAATGCTTTATGTTTAACCCAAAGGGATTTATTTTTTTACTTCTTCTTGCTTTAGAAGGATACTAAGAGAGGAAGACCCCTACCCTCCACAAAGTTGTAATTTGACAGCTACAAATCATGAGATCTAGATTCCAGTTCAAGTTTTGTCATTGATTGGCTCTTTGACCTTGTTTAAACGATGTATCCTATTTGTGCATTTGTTTCCACATCAGAAACATGGAACAGATACTGTTGGTACTAATACTTAAAATGGTTTGTTAGGACTTTTAAATGAGATATACTGTCTGGCCTTTTGAAAAGTATAAACCAACTTCAAATAAGGGCTAGATTCATGGATACAATGAAGATTTGAAAATATATATAATGAAAATTTCACTAATTTTGTAATCAAGTGACTAAAGGAACATTAAAGCAGAAATTCTGACTAGGGGAATAGTATGACAAGCACAAAATCACATCTAATAGTACAGAAGTTCACGTAATGACAATTACCTGTTTATTTTAAGGAAATGAATATATATATACATACATATATATATATATATGTATGTATATATATGTATGTGTGTGTGTGTGTGTGTGTGTGTGTATTCATTCATTTAAGTATGAAGAAACTGATTTCATGACCAGAAGTCTTCTGTAGAATTTAGTCATATACGTTCAGTAAGTGAGTTCTACCCATGATAACTAGGACACATGCAGGCTTACACTGGAGCCCAGGTCTCTTCAGAGATCCTGAGACTGTTGTGAGGAGGGAAGAAACAAGAGGTTGCATTGAGATGGAGCAGCCTTAGTACTGAAGATGTGACAGTCTGTGGGCAGGAGTGGAGAGAGGTTGTTTTGGGGCTCCCCTGGGGTTTCCCATTGATTCTGAGTTAGTCCAAAGAGTTCTTAAAGAAGACCTGGCTCATTCTAGAAGTTAACCTGGACCAAAAAAACTATCATAAGCAAGGTCTAAAAAATCACAAAAATCAGGATGGCTTACAGATCATTTGGAATTAATCCGTTGGACCTGTTCTCTGATTGCCACACTCCCAGCTAGGGAACTCAAAGCAGCTCCTGCCACTTGGCACAGTGGTATGATCAGGCCTCAAGGGAACAAGCCTACCGAAAGAACCAAAAGAAAGTGCTGTCTGCGTGGCAGCTGATTTCTGAATAAGAATACATTTATTTATTTTTTAAGGTATAGACATGACGTAAATAATGGAATTATTCGTTTTTCCATTTTATCTACATTTCTAGATCCATCAGGGATCATGGCTCTAATTATCTGAAAGCTTCTCTCCTTTTATGCCTTACCCTGTGAAAAACTTGTCTACATTGTCTGCTAGCTGTGGTTTTATGCAGTTAGCTGACGTCTCATGCCTGAGTTATTTCACGTTTAAAATGAAAGTAATAAACCTTTCCCTGTGCATGTCATTGGAGCTGGGAGGTTCAAACGAGACAAGATGTTTGTGTGAAAGCAAGTGGTAAACTTGTAAAAGTATGTTTAAATGATAGGCATTACTCTTACTGAAAAGATATTTGGAAGAAAAATCTGACACACAGTATCAATTTGCTACATTGTACAAAAAGCTTATTTTAGGCCTCCTTTCCCTGTTATGTCATAGTTGTGTGAATGGCCTCCACATTTGTCCAGACAAGCTACCTCCTATTGAAATAGCAGAAAATTCCATCTCTTTCCCTTCTATTCATTATAAAGTCTTAATGCCATTTCGTGCATGGGACTCATACCTGCGAGTAAGTGAGATGTCTGTACATAATTCCCCTTTAGTTCTTTCACTTATTGAGGACAAGGTAAAAACTGAACATTTCATGTTATGAATGCACATATTTATTACTCAGTACCATGACCATAACTGACGGAAGGCCCCATCTCTCTCTCTCAAAGACTCTGTGTTTAACTTGGGAACTATGGGGAAGACATTGGAGAGCTGGGTTCTGGCAGCTCTAACCTTTAAAGCTAACGTGATCCCTGTTGCATTAGCTTGAATCACAGGCTGTGCATGTGCCCATATTTAATCTGTCATTAGATCGTAAAGTGTGTGTGAGCATGCGTGAGTGTGCCAGTTTTTGAGAGAGTGAGGCTCTTAGGCCAATGTTCCTTATGTCTTGCTCTTGCCTAGGGTCTCTTGTGATGTGTGCATGCTGTTCAGGTCTTATTTCTGTTCACTGATGCGAAGCTGTTTCCCTGTTGAACTCTCTTAAGCAGTTCTAAAGGTACAAAAGAGTAAAGCAGAGAATATAGAGATCTATCTAAATTAGGCCTGTTGGTTTTGTCTTTAGAAGAAAATTATTTTTTAAATGCTCAGGTATTCATGTGGGTTAGAGTACCCAAATATAGATAATGTGATGAATGTAGATTTGGTTTTTACTTGTAGGTCTGCATCTAGAATCCAGCAGTGGTGGGGAAGACAGAAACTGTCCTTGTCCCATCAGCCTTCCTTGACCATACCATTTATGTGCATCCTGAATGTGTCAGGCATTTTCAGACTTCCCATTTGCAGTTCCCCTTTCTTCTTTATTTCTTGCCTTTCTAATTTCCAAATTAGCCGCCTAAAATTAACTCTTTAAATTTTTAAGTACATGGTGTGGCCCTCCCTGTTCAAAGGTTTTAAGAAAATTTAGTAAATTAGTATCTACAGTAAACAACATAATTAGGGGTTGATTTTTCATA